CTCCATGAGAGCAAGGATTTTGGAAAGAGTTGTCCACCTCTGTATCTCCAATACATGGTACAGAGGCGGCACTCAACAAATAAAAATTGAATGAATTAAAATTTACATATAAATCGCACTATTCACTTTCTGAGACAGATGTTACTGGTGTTTCACCCATATTTCTATGGATGTCACACAAGTTTACTAGTCTGTAGATTCCAGGAATCTCTCTGCTATTATACTTGCTGGTCTGGAAATGTCACAGAATTACTGCCTCTTCAGTGCAGTCTTCATCTTTACATAATCCAGCACACTTTCCCCTTGAAATAATAACTCTGATTTATGTAATCTACCAGATTACTAGAGGCTTAAGAACTACTCAGAGTAGCAACTTATTTGATAATTCATCATTAGCTTCTTATTTTACTACCCACATTTCTCTAACATTCTTTCCTAGAATTACTTACCAAATAAGCCTTTTCTGTTTGAAAAGAAACTCAGTTGGGTGTGGCGGCACAAGCCTGTAATCTCAGCATTCTGGGAGGCTGGGGCAGGAAGACTGCAAATTTGATTCTATCTGGGTCACTTAGCCAGACCTTGTCTCTAAATAAAAAACAAAAAAGGGCTGGGGATGTACCACAGTGGAAATACCCTAAGGGTTGTACCCCAATACCATAAAACAAAATGATATGAAACAGAAAAAACCCACCTCATTCAAACTGCACTCGATGTACACTTCACTGTGTAAATTTTACCTCAAATATTAAAAACTGGGAATAAAGATGACTGTTAAGAGATAAAATAAGTGGCTAAATATAAGTAGGATATGCATGGACTTACAATGATAACATACCAGGAATCGTGGATAACGAATAATCCAATCATATGCACCTATGGTGCAAAGTAAGAGGTTCAGAATATGCAGCTCTCTTTGTTCTCCTTAACTGCTTACCTAGAAACCTGCTGATTTAGTCTTGTGTGTTTGAAAAAAATATCACCTAGAAAACTACAACTTCATCATCCAGTATGTCTCACAAGGCAGCAAAGTTATTTCTGGATTCTAAGTGGCTAATGTATGCTTCTTTAAGTGGCCTGATGAAGGAAAAGGTACCAGGAAATATAACACTCACACCGGTGTGTGCTTGGGTTCAAAGCTGTACAGCAAAATGGAAAAGCCCCTTCTTTGCTGAGTGATATAAATAGTTAAGCAAAGCTGTTTACAGGTGTCCTGAACCTCGCTGTTTCCTATCCCAGCGGGTTAATAAGTGTAAGTTCAGAAAAGCTTAAAAAGCACTTTCTGGGGCTAATACAATTATGGTAAGAGTAAAAAAAAGAAAAGCCTAACAAAAGTACATTTAGGGTGTATTTCAAGCTTGGTCAGGATCCAATTTATAGGAGATTCGAATGGGAAAAACTGTCAGAGAAAGTTCCAGAAATAGGTGTGGTGGCTCAAGGGTTGGCAGAAAACTACAATTTTTTGCTGTGTTGCTCACTAACTGATGTATTAGGTCAGGCAAGATGCCCAGTCTTTCTGTGAAAACAAAAAGAAAGGTTGTAGGAAAATTAACGACAAGTTTGTTTTAGATGTTAGCAAGAGTAACATCTGTCCTTTCTTACTTTGTTTTAGGTAAAATATCTAAGTTTCAAAGTAAACTTCAAACTTCTTGCCTAAAACCTACACAACTCACTGAGATTAACATACTGGAAACAACTACCTCTAGAAAAAGAATGTTCACATACAGCGAGAGAGGCTGGTGCAATACTACATTTTGATGAGGTCATAATGAAAATAGAATATGTATTTACATAAATTATCCATATGCTTTCTGCCCATGTCTCCATTACCCCAAGATGCTACTCAGGCAGGATAACCACTGATACTCGTGTGAAGTACTACTACTTAGCAAAGATAAACCATCTTAAAAACAGAAGGATCAAAGGAAAGCAAGGGGGAAGACTAGGTCAGTGGTTTGGGAACAGCAGGGACACAGCATCACCTGGCAGCTGGTTAGAAATGCAAATTCTCAGGCCCTCCCTCAGCCTACACAATCAGAAACACTGGCAGCAGGCCTGGGACAATGGGCCACACCCATCTGAGCTGGGAACTGGCTACCAGGGTCAATAGTCAGAATTCTCTTTCTATCTCTCTGTGTGTAACTTCTGACTCAAAAGTAACACTTTGCAATTCCAGTTAACTGAAAAAAAAAAATCCCTTTAAGCCTCAACTCCTAAGTCTTTAATGTTTGCAACACTAGAATTTTTTACACATAGCCCTTACACATCAGCCACAACATATTTTGTCTTCCTCACTCCATCAGCTTAAACATTTTTCACTCCTGATCTGCTCTCAGATCCTTAGAGCAAACAATTCAGAACCACTAGAAATAGGCAGAGGTTAAGAAGTGGGGGCAGGGAGCAAGGAAGTGGAGAAAACAGAGAAGCGGGGTGTTAGTGGTAAGGGTGATGTTTAATGTTACAACCCCTTAAGACTGGTTAAACTAAATATAATGTTTAAGAAATTAAAAATGTGAGGACTGTATATTTAAATTAGGAAATTATTGTAATTTTAAGGCTACTGGTAATGCTATTATAGTTATCTTTCTTGAGTCTCGATTTTCTTTTAGACAAAATGATATGACATCTGGAATCTGCTTTAAAATACAGTAAAAGAGCCGGGCGTGGTGGCGCATGCCTGTAATCCCAACACTCGGGATGCTGAGGCAGGAGGATCACTGTGAGTTTGAGACCAGCCTGGGCTACAGAGTGAGTTCCAGGTCAGACTCAACTACATAGTCAGACCCTGTCTCAAAAAACCAAAAAAACAAAAACAAAAACAAAACAAAACAAAAAAAATACAGTAGAAGAGTTAATAAGGGTAAACACAGATGTACTGGGCAACGTGGCACACACCTGTACTCCCAGAATTTTGGGATGCTGAGGTAGGAGAATTGCAAGTTTGAGCTAAGCCTGGGCAATGTAAAATAAAAATGAATTTCAAAATAAAAATAAAAAGGTATAGATGAAACATGATAGGGCATGTGTTGATAATTGTTGAAGATGGAGTGATAAATGGGAATACATAAAACTGTCTTATCAACATCTTATATATATGAGGTTTTACTATATGTGAAGTTTACTATAATATTTAAATTTTTCATCTTTAAATTAGAGGATTTCAAACACTTTCAACCATGATCTATTGTCTTAATTTTCCATCATAACCTTGAGCATACTAGGTACTCCTCAAATATTTAAAGCCAAATGGCATAATTCTTGTTACTTTAGCCACCTCCACAAACACAAACAGGCAGTCAAAAAATGGAAGTCTAGTATAGATGACAAACTGTAAGGCAGAGCATAAAAGGCTAGAATGGTCATACATTCTTGCTCACTAGAATGGAGAGCCAAAGGATTATGGGGCAAAGTTAGTATTTAAATATATGAAGCAACGAAAGAAAGAAAACAAGCCCTTTGGCTCTCTGCTTTATTTAGGAATGATAACCAAATAGAGTTGAGGAAAAGTTTGCTACAACATTATTTCTTGAATATAAAGATGTTGCTATTATTTGAAAAACTAATTTAAATGTCAGTAAATGACGGCCAGGAGATAAATTTAAAAAAGTGCTCCATTTCTCCACATCTGTTCTCACTAGCTATTGTTATGACTGCACAGAAAAGGTATAAATTTGTCCAAGGCCACTGAGCAAGTGAGATTTGAATTTGAGAATCATGATCCCAAGTATGCCTCTCACTGATTAGGTATTTACTGAATAATTATTATGCCTTGACTAGGATCACCAACCTTGATCTCTCTTATAAGCTTCCAAACTATAAACTACCTACAGGACCCCTGTCCCTGTCTACCTTTCACCACACTGTCTGACATGCCCTGAACTTAGAAACTCTCCTCCTACTCCCTTACCTTTATGCTGTCACAAATGCTATTCCATCCGTGCCTGGATGTCTTTCCTAAGTTGTCTCTTGGTATTTGTGGTGATTAGGTCCTGTACTCCTGCTATACATACTCAAATCCATTGAAATTACTTATATAAAATAGTATAGTATTTTCATATAAAGTCTATGTACATCCTCCTGTATATTTTAAATCTCTAGATTACTTAAAATACCTCATACAATGTCTTTGCTATGTGAATAACTGTTCTACTATACTGCTGAAGGAATAGTAAAAAGGAAAAATATCTGTTCATGTTCAATGAAGATTTTCCTGAAAATTTACAATCTGCAGTTGATTGAACTCACAGATGTGCAGGAACCAACTACTTTCCAGATTCAGCTCAGCCATCTTGTCCTTCAAGGCCCTTCTGATTCACCTCTCTCGCAAGAGCTCCTTGAAAACAGACCATGTTTCTGATACTCCTCACTTATGTGATACACATCAAGTACTGTGGTCTGTTATTATGCCTCGGGGCTCCTCAAACATACACACGCACATGTACACGCGCACACACACACACACACACACACACACTGATGTTATCACCATTCCAGTTCCTATCTTCCTTTTTGGCTAACAATGCTACCTAGGAGCCTCATGGCTGCAAAAACCAGAAAGCTACCTACCAACCACAACGTTTAAGATAAACTGGGACAGATTCCATCGTTGTTATCAGCATCGTACCCCAATCTTACAGAGAGAAATGTAATAATCTTCAAGAGTTAGGTCAAATTCACAGTGCTTCTTTAAAATGGCATTATAGCATGGACGAGGGGGGAAAAAATGAGAACCAAGACCTGTCATGTAAAGGTACAAGATCCCAATAATGAATGTAATTGTACTGTATACCTTAAATGTACCAATAAACTCAATTAATAAAAAAAATTAAAGCAAAATCAAAGCATGAAAAAAAAATGGCATTATCCCTCAGAGTTTGCAAATTGAGATTGCAATAAGATGGAGGAGCACCTGCTGTAATTGTTCTATCTACTCTAACTCTAACTCAGTTCTCTTTTTTTAGCTCTTGACAACCTAGAGACTTACCAAGAACCATGGTGCATACCTGTAATCCCAGCTGCTCAGGAGGCTGAGGCAGGCGTATCACAAGTTTGGGTCCAGCCTGATCAATCAAAACAAGAAAATACAAAGGGCTGAGGATGAAGCTCAGTGTAAATGTCCTGGGTTCACTTCTCCATTGCTGGTGGGAAGCTAAGTTGGTACAACCCAAAATCAGTAAGGAGATGCCTCAAAAAATGAAAAGTAGAGGTTTCATTTAACCCAGGTATTCCCCTCCTAGATATCCTTCCCAAAAGAGTTAAGGTCATCATACAATGACACATGCACACCAATACTTATAGCAGCATAATTCATAATAGCTAAATCTTGGAAACAACCCATATGCCCATCAACAGATGAACAGATAAAGAAAATGTGGAATTTACATACAACAGAGTACTACTCTACCATAAAGAATAAACTTGAGACATTTTTAAGTAAATGAATACATCCAGAGACCATAATCTTAACTGAAATAAATCAGACACACAAGTCTAAATATCACATTGTTTCTCTTGTGTGAGAAACCCAAAATGGAGGATAAATATTAGAAAGTAGGAAGAAGTTCAAATGGGAAGAGAACAAGGGATAGGGGAGGGAGAAGAGAAGAAAGGGAAAGCGTTTTTAAAAAAATAACTGAAGAAAAAAAATGGAAACAGCTTTTGTAAATGGGGAGGGAAAGAAGGTTTGAAGGGAAGGGAGAGAAATGGGAGAAAAAAAATTAATGCAGGTACAGATTTCCCATGATGAATGTAATCATTATGTATGGCAAACATTAAAAACGCCGTGAGAGGCTGGGGATTTAGCTCAGTGGTTCCGCAGCCTGCCTGGAAAATGCAAGGATTGGAGTTTGGTCTTGGTACCAAAAACAAAACAAAACAAAACAAAACAAACCCAAGAAACCTTAGAGACTCATCTGTTTCTTATTTTGCTACCCAGGCCCATCAACACAGTCTGTGCCAACCGCTGGATCACTTCCCTGAGGTAAGCCTTCTTGGAGTGTGTGAGTTCTTGCATGCTCAGGAAGGCAGGAGTGGGTAATAAACCAGATGTGGTAGCACACATCTATAATCCCAGCACTATGGTAAGCTGAGGGAGAGCATCGCAAATTTGAGTTCAGCCTGTTCAACTAGGCAAGATATAAATAAGGGCTAGGTTCTAGGTTCAATCTTCAATACAAAAAAAAAAAAAAAAAAAAAAAAAAAAAAAAAA